TCATCTCTGCCTTAAAGGCTGAGAGCATGTTGAGGAAGCCTGATTGTTAGGGATATCTTGTCAGTCTTACTAGCACCTCATCTCAAGAGAAAGTATTAAATGATGTGCCAATAGTACGAGAGTATGCTGACGTGTTTCCCGATGATCTGCCAGGTACTCCACCCGATAGACAAGTGGAATTCATGATAGACCTAGTACCTGGAGCTACTCCTATATCTAAAGCCCCATATCTAATGGCACCAAAGGAATTACTAGAGTTGAAGACACAGTTGAAAGAACTTCTAGACAAAGGGTTCATTAGACCGAGCGTGTCCCCATAGGGAGCTCCGGTACTTTTTGTAAAAAAGAAGGATGGTACAATGACTTAAAAAAGTGATAAAAATCTAAGTTAAAATTAAAAATTAATTTTATAGTTCATAGAACGACAATTTTTATCCTTATTCAACCACAAATTTCATTAATTTTTTTTTTTCAAAATCTATTAAAATTTTGATTTTTTTAACTGAATCAAATAGGGGCTTAGTATATTAACGATGATAAGATGTACTCTTCTACTACTTCTCTAGGATTTTATGAAATAGAGTTCACTTAAAGATTGAAATACGAATTTTTATTACTCTTTTTCTTGTTCATACATTTTGAAAAGCCAAAAAAGAGTTGTGACATGTCAAAATTAGTTGCATTATTTGATTAAACCAACCACCCCACACTCCACCCCCACCCCCCCACCATTGAGGAAATTACACTAAATATCAATTTTTGACTTTGCATTTTCAAAAATGTCACTTTTAAAAAGTGTTTACAAAATTGGCATTTTTAGACATTTTTGTCCCTCTAAAGAATTTAAATACCCTACACATCCTTGAGTTGACAACATAAAAAAGTACAAAAAGTGAAAAAAAATTCAACAATCAATCACTTCACTATGGCACTTAAAAATCTACCTTCTATTGACCCAAACCAATATCATTATTACAAAATCTCATTCAATCCTTAAAATCTTCATTTCTTTAACTTCATCTACCGATTCATCCCTAGATTGAATTGAAATTGCAATTCCCACATACCTTAAATCTTCTCTCATCATCTCTCTACGAAGCCAGAATGCTTGCATGGAGGTTGATTTTTTTCTTGCTAGTTTAGTAATTTCTCAAGTCGAATATGTTATTAACATTTTTCAAGGTTGTTTATTAACATTTTTCAAGGTTAGGTATGGGTATTGGATCTTCTCTATTCCCTTAGTCTATTGTGAATTCTCAACTTTTTTTTATTAAAGATTATTAAGTTAGTGATAAAAATATTAATACTACAAAATTTTGTTAATCTTTTCACTTCTAGTTTGATTTTGATAATAAATTGGTTTTGTGGTTTCTACTATGGATTTCGATTTTCTTGTTTCTTCTTCACATTTGTGCTCTCCTCGATAATGATACAAAATGCAAATAATGAATACGATCATTTTCAGATATTTTTGCTATGAATTTGGCTTATCTTGGGTAATGAGGAAGAAATTTGTAACTAGTGGAATAGATCTGGAATCATGTATCAAATAGACCCTTAATCGAATGTATAAAAATGAAATCATAATTTGTATGATTAAGTCACACGTGTGTGCTATGTAGAAGTAATTTCCCGACAGTTAACTTCAGTAGAGAAATGTCGTCGCCATGAACTGTAGTTCCCGACAGTTCACCGCAATAATTCTCGACAGATGGAAGAATCTTGACAGATGAACTGTCGAGACCCGAAAGTTCTTCTCTGTTTTTCTCGACACATGACAGTTCCACACATCGAACATTGGTTCATCCGAGCGTAATATGTGCGTTTCGCATTAACATGTACGAAATATTGTGCACCACAATTTTTCATTTATTTTCGTGCAATTGTAATATGTTGTTTCGTGTGTTCAAATTTTCGTACTAACGTTGATATTCGATTTTATTTTCTTATATGATGTTCGTATTGTTTCGTTAAATTGTGTTTCATAATTTGTTGTTGTACTTTGGCATCCACAAGTACTACATATCACAATCTGACTTTTTTTCATTTTCTTGTTGTTGCTTGCAGAAAAGATGGATTTCGAATTCCTGGTTCCGAAAAATGCACGGTTACGGGCCCACATTTCGCGGCGAAGCAACCTGAAGTACATAAAAAGAGTCATTGACCATTTTGATGAGCGGCGCGCCAAGACTTCTACAACTCATGCATCGGATTCCTTGTCGAGGTTACAGACATCCAATTCAATATGTATTAAATTAATAATTCAATGGAAAACATTTATGTATAATTGTCCCGTTAGTTGCTTAAATTTCACGTACTGTAAACTTGGGAATTATATGGTCGTGTACAAATGAATAAGTGTCAAGTTCTTTTGTATTCACTTTTGTTAGTGATGATTTTGGTAACAGACTTTACTAAAGAGTCAGCAGCAACATGTCCATTATGCCTCGTATGTGTAGTTACAGTTTGTAGTCTGTGCCAACTGTTGAGAACAACATAAACAATCTGTCAGAAACGACAGATGAACTGTCGGGTTGTCATGCAGTATTATGTCAATGAATCAGTATTTTAGTTGTGAATGTAAACATGTCTACTACTGTCTGCAAACGAAAATGAATTTGAATGATAATGTAAGTTGGAAATAATAATGCAAGTTCAAAACGATAATATGCGAACATAACGAGTAATAACGTCTGCATATGATAATAAAAAGAGAACGATTACATAACTTCAGATAGTACAACGTCATTGGGAAACATTTAACATACT